AAAATATTTTCAAAGTAATAATTAAAGCTTTAGATTCTAGAGAGTTACGTAGCCTGTTTTACCTTTGGGTAAGATTAATAAACACTATACAAATAGAATGCCATGATCTGGGATTAATAAAAAGTTGTGAGTCAGTAGCCTATCGGTGTGAACTATGTAAAACCATCTAATTGTTATGTCTTTGCAGTAGTTCTGGTGTGTCACCCTTGTATTCCCCAGTGTCCTTCTGTGGAATTCCTGTAAGAGTTCTACACAATAAGCTCCCGGACCTCTCCTTAGATAACATGATTGGTAAGCTTTTCTTTTCCTTTGAGTTTTCATGTTAGGTGCTTTTTGAAGGGTGAAGTTAATAGTCACTGACTTGCAGCTTATTATAAAGTCAAAATATTAGCTTGTAAAAACTAGAAAATAACATTCTTTCCCAATAAAAGGGCAGAAGGCAGCTTAGGTGGGTGTTATAGATGTTGGAATTAGGAAATACTCAGTTATGAAGGATTCTGTGATCGGAAAGAAAGAGGAAGCAAGGCTTCCAGTTCCTGGATCTGTCCTCCTGAGCATGCCACGTGCCTCTGGACCACCACACCTGCTGTCCCTTGGCTTGGAATCCAATACCCAGGTCCTTCTTTTTCTGCTATGCATAATTGAAAATGCAGCTTGTATTGCATCCTTTAATCTCTCAAACCTGACTTGATGTTCCTTTTTAGTCCCTGATCATTAACAGCTGTATTTTGTTGTCCACACAAGGGCTTTGTATTCCGCCTCATTTCCTTTCCCTGCACTCAGCCAGGGCCTGGTGCAGTCTAAATGCTCTGTAAGGATTTGTTAAAGGAATAAGTGATGAGCAACGTTAGAAGCATTATTTTAGCTTTTTTGCATGTAAGTTTCCTTATTTTCGTGTTCAGGGTCCTTTCAAAAAAATGATTATTTGCAAATAAAATACTTTCTAGAATGAATTTAATTGTAATGGACCTTGCATCTCTTAAAAGAAGAATGAAGGTTTTGGATTTCAAATGAAAGTTGAAATCATAATGTCAAAATGAGTAAATATGCCAAGAAATTATGACATCTGATGATTTTAAATTTATAGTTTTTTGTTAATCATGAGTTTCTCTGGTTTGTACAGGGTTTTCTGGATCATTATTTGTTTTTCTGTAATGTAATTGAAAATGGATATTTTTCATTAGGTTTTTATTTAAATGCTATATCTTGGAGAGGGTTAAATCAGGCTACCCCTTGGAGGCAAGGATTCTGGGGCTTCATCTGAAGTACTTTGGACATGTTGTAAGGAGAGACAGGTCCTTGGAGAGGGACGTCATGCTTAGTAGGGTGGAGGGACAGTGCAGGAGCGAAGACCCTCTATGAGGTGGATTGATTCGGTGACTGGGGTAATCGGGATGGGTGTGTCCGAGGCAGTGCGATTGGCACAGGATAGAGCAGGGTTTAGGGCAAACGACTTGACGGCACATAACAACAACAACATATAGACAATACAGGCGAAACTAACTAGAAAATACATTACCTTATTAATGAATTAGAGTTGATGTTTATTGAATGTTTAACACTATTAAGTGCTAGACCTAAACCTTTATGGGTTACCATAATACATTCCTGCCAGTTAAGTAATATTGTCTCCATTTTCTTGATGTGAATACTGAGGCCCAGAGAGATTAGTTAAATTCCTGAGATCACATAGCCAATGAGTGAGAGAGCCACAGTGCTTCTTAGGCAGAAATGTCTTCTTGCCCTGACCACTTCACGTTGGTCTGGACCTGACCTCTGTGTCTGCGTGTTTCCTTCCAGCTGTAAAGCCCTTGTACTCCATGATTGTGTATTTAAAGCCATCTCTAGACAAAAATCCATGTGAAGAACTTAGATTCATACTTTTTGCGTTAAATTCATTCTGTCAGTAACACAATTTTCTGAGTTAATTGACCCTGTCTACATGGAACATAAAAAAATGAACATGAACGGAATGATAAATATACAGGCAGAACTAATCAGTGGTACGAAGCCCGTTTAGGTATCTGAGTGATATAAATGACATCCTTCCAGAGACAGAATGGTCTAGATTGCTTAGCAGCTCTTGACAATGTAGCTGATTTAAAAGTATTAAATAAGTAAAGCTTTGCGACTTGTAAACAGTTTCATTAAAACTTCTAATTAAACTTTTAATTTGGTATTCAGTGTGTGCTTAGCGATAATCGAAAACAGTTCTGTTAAATGTGGAGGGCTGATTTACAGTCCGTAGTAAAGGCTGCCGCATAGCATAGTAAGATCTAATGTGTCCTGCCTTGTGAATTTCTTGTTCAGGAAGATACTTGAAGAAGAATGTGCTGTTTCTAGAAGTTGCATCCAAGCTGATAGGGCTAGTTGGTATACAGGCAGCCTACCTGCTAAGCTTTCCATTCCTTCATGGCCCATTTTTGGTTCTAAAGTAAGGCAAAAAGATTGGCATCCATTGTTTGTGTCATTTTAATAGGATTAAAGTAGTGACCACTTCGCCTATATATCTTACCAATTTAACAAAAAAAAATATTATTAAAACAACTTTGCTTTAAAAAGTTATAATGTATGCATAAATATATGAACACACATATGCTTGTGTATTTTTTGACACGTTAATCTCGGTTTGAGAGTTGTTTCTGGGAAGATAGTTTGTACACCTTTTTAGTAGTCGTAGTCTTTGTCTTCACATTGTTTTGGTAGATTTTTCTACTGGAGTCATCCCTTTAGTTTGAGACAAAAGCTATTAATTTAGAATTAATCAGAGCATTTGAAAATAATCCTATTAAGCTGTCAGCAGTGACAATTTATATATTTAATCATATTTGTATATTCCTTTACATATTGTAAAGTTAAACTTTGTAATTATAGTTACACAGGCAACAAGTTTTGCATGAGAAACCATGAGGGAGTTCTAGAGCCTCGTGCTGGTCACTGCTCATTCTATGTGCTGTTTACACAGTGTGTGAGGTAGAAGAGTAACACTTAGAGCAGCGAGGAGACAGAAGTGTGTGTCTGCATTGAACCTCAGAGAAACTGTTCTCCACCCACCCAGTCCCCTTGCTTTGTTCTGCAGCCTCTGTTGAGTGCCCACCTCCCAGAGATGTGGACTGAGCCATTCTTCCCTAAAAGACAAGGGGCTCGGAAAATGGGAGCTCTCTCTGAGGTTTCCGATGATGTGACTGAAGTCCCGTCGCCCGTCAGGAGCTCTGGTGGCGCTAAAGAAAGCCACAGCCCCTTTCATGCCACCTTGTGCTCTTTTTCTAAACCTGAGAAGTATTTCCTCTGAAAGGTTTCTTCCCATTTTTAAGGCCAGCAGATGTTCTGATTTGTATATTATCCTTTTTCTTTGTGCATCAGGGCAAAGTGCAGTTGCTGGAGAAGAACACCCCAAAGGCTCCATTCTGCAGGAGGTGCATCTCAAGTTCCTCCTCACCGGGCTGCTGTCGGGACTGCCCCTGCCACCGTTTGCTATCCGCATGTGCCCACCGCTGACCACCAAAAACATCAAGATGTACCAGCCCCTGCTTGCTGTTGGTGAGGATTTGGCCTCTCTTGTCGTGTTTCTTCATGCCTGTTTTACACTTTCTGAGCCATTTAGGTTGCCGAGTTATTGCGGTGACACACAGCGTTGTGGAAGAAAGGCTTGCCAATTTGTTTCCATCACACCTTCGAGTTGGATTAGGCACACCTAGTCTCTAGACTGACATTGTTGCTTTTCAGTACCCTGGAGAGTGCTAAATATAAAATACAAATATTGAAAATATATTTAGACATCTTAAATTCTAAAAAGCATTGGGTTATGATCAGTGTAGATATTATAGTCACTATTTAGCCCATTTTTCAGTACTGGATTTATTATGAGATAGCTGAGAAGCTAGTGTAGAATTGTGGTTTTCATAAGTGCACAAAATGTGAATTTGCCTAGCATTTTGTTGGTGTACATAAATCCACTAATCTTTTTCAGTCATGAGCAATGAGAACGTGATTATCCAAACAACAGCAGCACTCACTTGTTTAACATATGAGAACGTTTTAAAGACTGACACTTCACCTTCTTAAATATGCCTATGTCCCTTATAATTATAGTTTAGACACACTACCTGAGGGCTTTAGATTCATCAATAATACCTACAAATTCAACTTCCAGTGATAACAGAAGCAGAAATAAGGAACTCAGTGCTTACTATATGTTAGGTGCTACCCTAATTATGTATATTTTCTAATTTGATCTTAAATAAGTAGATTTAGAATTTGTTTTAAAGAAACAAACAGATTTAGTTGAGCAAGCAGCTTATTCAAGAATATAAGGCAAAGTCAGGGCTTGGACCCAGATTTCTTAATTGTAAAATCTATAATTAGCCCCCCCCTCAAATTGATAATCTCCTTGTGATTTAATGTAAAAGACAAAATACAAAATCCTCATAAAAAAAAGTAGAAAATCTGGTTACTGAGCTCTGCTAGGTTGTCTTGTTGGATGAGGACTGACATTCTGCATCAAAAGGTGAACAAGATGGTAATCATTGTCCATCTCAAAAGGTCTAAACTCTCAGGTGTGAAATGGAAGACTTTCTGAAAGCATTTCTCCACGTTTTCTGGGTCTTGTGTTAGGTTATAAAATCTCACTGGATCTGTTCCTGGAGTGAGATACATGTAAGTATTCCTGTAACACAGAGCCCCTGAGATTAGACCCAGCTTTGCAAAAGGGAAGGTCAGGGAAACTCGTGTTTATTTTCTTCACGTATCACTCAGATATTTCTGTTCCAAGATCATTACTGTAAAAGGATTAAAATATTGAGAAAAGGTTTTTGTTAGAAAGATCTGGAATTCCCACCAAGGCCCACCCTCCTGTCACGTCCTTTTGACAGGCACAAGTAACGGCTCGGTCCTGGTGTATCACCTCACCAGCGGGCTGCTGCACAAGGAGCTGAGCGGCCACTCGTGTGAAGTCAAGTGAGTACTCTGTCCTCTTGGCTCCGGCCGCAGGCACTGCCCGGGTCCGCTCGGGCTGGTCCACTGCAGCAGGGTCTGCTTTTGAACTTCCTGGTTAATTCTGTGTCTAGCTAGTGGAGGCCTGAGGACCAAGGTGCTTTCTGACCAAAGAGCATTGTACTCCTGTTACAGACCAGAGATAAAGTATTTTTATAATTAATAATAATGAGACAACAAAGAATGAGATAGAGAGCATAAAAAACGGGGGCAGCTGTTCTCAACTGCTGTCCTGAGCTTCCCCATATCTTTACTGAAAATTATCAGGAAGTAAATCACAAAGAGAATTCAATGCAAATGAAGCCAAGCTCTTTCTATTGAAAACCTTCCCCTCAGGAGGGAGGGGTCAGTAGATAAAATGCAAAAATCCAGTAAACCCTTAAGGATTGCCTTTGGTGCCGCAGGGTGAATTCCATCCTGAAAGAGCATTCTGTTTATTACAAATATTTAGTATTGGCTTCCCATATACTCCCTTTTAAGATTTCATTTGCTTCTTCCTGTATGAATATTCCTTGGTTAGGGTGCTCATAACCTATTTAATGAAATAATTTATTAAAGGAAATAAATTTAATCTATTTTTTTAAACATCAGAAAAGAGGTGAAATTTGCTCGCACTTGGCTTTGGCTTTGGCTTTGAGATGCAATGTGTTGTGAGTGCTGTGGAGGTGGATGTGGGAAGGAAGGAGTTTGATGCCTCGTTGTTCATGTCCATGCTTAGCTGTGCCATAGCATCGTTTACAAGCATGAGTCTGGTTTTCTGTAAAGTTACACATATATGTAAATTGACTGCATGTTCCGTATATAGTCTTTTAACAAAGATGTAGGTAAGGCTGTCTTCTGTTCCCCATACATTACATAATTATGAATTTCACATAATCAAACCCACCACTGTCATTGAGTCAGTTCCTACTCAGCAACCCGGTGGGCCACTGTGGATCTGCCCTGGAGGGTTTCCAAGTCTGCAGACTCATGGGCGCAAACTGCCTGTCTTTCTTCAAGAGTGGTTGGTGGGTTTGAGCAGCCTTTGACCCTCAGTCAAGCCCCAGCCCTTGTGCCACCACAGTTCACGTAGATTTCCTGAATGCCCTGAACCGTTTAGTGAACTGTTAGTGTGCACGTCATCCTGACAGGTGCATTTCTGTGAGGTGGAAGTCTCTGAAGTGTTTGCCTGGCCTCCTTCCTTCAAATGCATTGTTCTGTCGGTGACCTAGGTGCGTATTTAGTATCAGCTATACTCAGCTGTCCAGCATCTCTCAGTCACACATTCTCGGAGGCTCTGGTCTCCGAGGGCCAGTGGTGCAGGTCTGCAGGTCATCTCATCTTCTCCTGTCAGGGTTTTGCTGCTCACTCTCTGGCCTGGCTTCCAACAGCCCTGCTGCCGTGCTGTCCGCCTCCTTGTGGTGGTTCCATTTGTGGCTGAAGTCAGCCATCAGTCAGCAGTCATTCAAAGGGTTACTACAGATACTACTGCTTTCCATGTGTCATTTCATCCTATCTCCACTGCAGTTCTCTGAGTAGTCACAAAAGAAGAATCTGAGAATCAGACCCTCATCAGTGAAAGGCATTGATAGAATCCAGCCTAGGATTTTCTGGGTTCAGACTCCAGACTCTTTATTTACGTTTAGAATGTGTAAGCTAGATCTCTAGCTAAGAAAGGCATGTAAATTAGCCTGAAATATAGTGGCCATACAATACATATGCCAAGTGAGCCTGGGTTCATGCTAGCAATTTGAAAAATGCTCCAAAATTTGAGCAGCTTTTATATTTTTCTTGGCAATGAAATCTTTGATAAAGATACAGCTGAACTAGCTTATTGTCAAATATTAATTGTAAGGAAGATGCAAGCTTCTTGTTAACTGTTGATCCGTCATATCTACCAGTAACCACATGCTCTCTTACCAGCTTTATGGCTGAGTAACATTGACATTGTTCAAGGGTTACCAGAGAAACCAAGAAACTCAAGGGACTTTTTTATTCAAGCAGGCTGGTGTTGTGAACAATCTATACTCCATTTTATAATATAAATGTTCCCGCTGGAGTGCCATTTTCATGATGATTCAGGTTTTATATCCAGAGAAGATGGCCAAGAGGATGCGAAACTCCTGCTGTCTTTTTGTGTTAATTAGTACAATTATAATATTCCACTTGAAAGCCATAATAAAAAAATTCACAGATGTGTTCTAAAAGCTGCTGAGCTTATTAGCAATAAACCCAAACATTTTAGATTCTCATATGGAAATGAAAAGGGCAACTTTTTAAAAAGTTGTTCTTCTGCTGTGAACTACTTTTTGGAAGCACATTATCACGAGTCCTTGAATGTTAATATTTGCACACGGCTAGGATGGCTTATCTGTTTATAATTTGTGTGTGTTCTTTTAAATGATAATGATGACGTTGGGTTTTTTCCCCCATAGGCCACTTTTAAAAGCCATTTTAGGTTGCAGATAAGTTGAGCTGAATCATAAGAGTTCCCATTTACGCCCCACCTGCACCGCATGCAGTCTCTCCTTTACCATTCTCTTTACTCTTGTGATACATTTGCTACAGTTAATGAGCCAGCATTGATAACAGTTATTGATATAGTTCACTGTCCGTCCTTTCCGTCAGGGTTCAGTCTTGATTTGGCCCTATGAGTTTTGACAAATGCGTGATCCTGTGTGCCCACCGTTATACTTTGACTGCCCTGAAAAGAACGCCCGGTGCTGGTCATCACCGCCCGTGCCCTCCCTCGGCCCCTGGCAGCCGCTGACCACTCCTGGGCTCATGCGCTGTGTTTTCTTCAGATTGGCTCCTTTCGCTTAGCTGCGTGCATTAAACTGCCTCCTTGTCTTTTCATGATTCGAAAGCTACTCTCCCCTCTATTTTCCTTTTTTGAAAACCACTGCGTCCTACTCCATTGTGTGACTGTACAGTTCATTTATCTGTATACGTGTCGAAGGATCTCCTTTTCAGCAGTTGTGAAGCGTCTGTGTCACTTTGTTTTCTCATCTCCTTGGGGCCGGGACCTCGGTGTGTGAGGTGAGCCTGTGTGTAGCTCTGGAAAACCACCTCGACTGTCAAAACCAGCGCTGTTTTTTGTTCCCGTGCAGAGTGAAGTGTTCCTTCGCGCCCCATCCTGCCACATGTGGTGCTGGTCATGGTTTGGATTTTAGTTGTCTTCATAGTAAACGTTGATAGACCGCCCCGGGGGTCAGCGAACATCCTCCATCTAGAGCTGCATAGTAAATAGTAAATAGGCTCAACAGGCCTTACACTCTTGTCTCAGCTACTCTGCCGTCATAGCGTGACAGCAGCCACAGCATGTTGTTACGAGCTGTTGAGTCAGAAGTGATTTATGACTGACCGTCAGTGGGTTTTCAGAGAATCACGTGGAGGATTTTGCCCATCTTTCTCCCCCGGGGCAGCTGGTGGAGTCAAACCCCGTGCCTTTGAATTGGCAGCACAGCTCCTTACCTCTAGGTCACCAGAGCTCTCTAAAAGCAGCCATAAACAATACATTTTTTTCAAATTTTCTGTCTAAAGATTCCGATGGGCAGTGAGCACGGAACAGGACTTGCCTCCCGACTGGCCTCTGCTCTGATGTCAGCAGGGCATCTCTGTGGCTCTCGTGGGGCTTCTGTGTTGTCCGTGTGGCTCACTTCTGTTTTTCAGTCTCTGCATGAATGAGGTCCACTCAGGTGGGCTGTTGTTGTGTACTGACAAGTCAGACCCCACTCATGGCTGACCCTTCAGGAGGGTTTTAGAGACTGTAAATTGCATGGAAGGAGAGGGCCCATCCTTCTCCCACAGAGTAGCTGGTGGATTTGAGCCATGCCACTTTGGGTTGGCAAAACAACTGTTTACCCCTGAGCCACCAGAAGTCCCTCTCAGGTGGGCTAGTGGTGGTACAGGTGGGATCACTGCTGTCAGTCCCACATAAAGAAGACTCCCAGGGCACCAGGATTGGACGTTGCTGTCCTATCATACCACATTCTCTTTGACGTTTTCTTTTCTCTAATTCAGTTTGCTCGGCTCCATGGTCAACACTCTTGGCACCAGTAGCCAGGAAATCAAAAAATGTATTGCGATGGGAAAGTCTGTGGTTAGGGACCTCTCTAAAGTACTCAAGAGCAATGGTGTCTCTCTGGAGACTAAGGTGCACCTGATACAGGCCATGGTTTTTGCAATCACTTGTTATGCATCAGAGAGTTGGACAGTGACTAGGGAGAATAGAAGGAGAATTGACGCCTTTGAGCTGTGGTGCTGGAGAAAAGTATTGAATGTACCATGGACTACCAAGAAAACAAATAGATTCATCCTAGAGAGGGTTAAACCAGGCTGCTCCTTGGAGGCAAAGATTCTGGGGCTTCGCCTGACATACTTTGGACATGTTGTAAGGAGAGACAGGTCTTTAGAGAGGGACATCATGCTGGGTAGAGTGGAGGGACAGCGCAGGAGGGGAAGACATTCTATGAGGTGGATTGATTCAGTGACTGGGGTAATCGGGATGGGTGTGTCAGAGGCAATGAGATTGGCACAGGATAGAGCAGGGTTTAGGGCTGTTGTACATAGGGTCGCTATGAGTCACAAACGACTCAACGGCACATAACAACAACAGCAGCAATTGATAGATCATTTAGAATTTCATTCATTTTCATCTAACATCTCCATTCATCTTCTTTGTTTCTGAAACATCTCTCTGCTTCCTAACCAACAATAAATTATTACAGAATTGAAGAAAATCCTTACTTGGACCCAGCTTTAAGTGGTTTGTTCAGAGTATTTCTGTATGACTTGTGTTTTTAAGCAGTTGCTGTTTTTGGAAAGTATTACAGCTCTCGCCCTGGCCCAATTTTACAGTCATTTTAATGCTGCTGTGAACCCTTATAATCTGTCTTGTCATTACTCTTAGAGGTATATGCTTTAATTAGAAATAATTGCTAATTAAGTAGGATTTTTGTGGGAATGTAATCCCTAGTAGCACAATGTGCTCAGCTGTTACTTAACAAAAGAACCGAGGCTGGGGCCCACCAGTTGCTCAGAGGAGAGGAGACCTGGGAATTGCCCCTGTGAAGACTGTGGCTGGGAACCCTGGGGACAGTCCTGCTTGGCCCTCTAGACTCCCACTGAGTGAGAATTAACACAGCAGCACACAGCAAAATAGCTCAAAGTGAAAGGGCACATTAATACTCCTAATTAACTTGTGTAATTAAAATTTAGATCTCACTAGGAGAAACTTCTCCTTGAGGTCTCATCAAGGAGGTGGTTTGACACAGTGACTGTAACAGCGGGGCTGAATGTGGCAGAGACCATGGGGATGGTGCAGGGGCTGAGAATGACGAGACCCTGGGGACGGCGCAGGGGCTGAGCGTGGCAGAGGCTGTGGGCAGAGACCGTGGGGACGTTGCAGGAAAGGGCAGATTCAGAGCTGCATTCACAGGGTCTCTGTGAGTCAGTCTACTCAGCAGCACCTGACAACAACTGGAAGGATATATTCTTCAAAGCAACCTTTGAAACAGAAGCAGGCCATTCGATTAACCACTGTTTAATTTCTCTCCGCAGAGGAATCGAATGGTCAAGCCTGACCGGTTTTCTGTCGTTTGCCACCTCAACACCAAACAATATGGGACTCGTGAGAAATGAACTCCAACTCGTGGATCTTCCAACAGGTGCGTGTTGTGTTCCTCGACTGCTCAGGGCTGGAGGTGTGCTCCGTCGTACTGCTGGAGATTCCGCTGTTTAGAGAACAGGTTCTAAAGGACTTCCTTCCACGCTGCATCTATCTTCTCCTGTACATTTTTATTAGTTTATTTACAAAATTAAAATACAAATTTGAACAAATTCTCTCAATTTCCCTTCCCCTCCCCCACCCATCAAATTGTACAACCCAATGATTAATCCCCCCTTCCCCCTACACATCCACATCCCTCTGCTTCCAGCTTCTCCCACCCCTCCGGGATCCTTATACTCCTTCTACAATGATGGTCTTATGCAATATTTATCCTTGTGGGACTGAGTTAGTTCACTCAGCACATTTTTATTTATGTATTCATTTTCTTATTTTACAGTTGTCCTAGGAAAATCTCATCCTGTTTGTATGAGACAATCTTGTAAAAACAAGTACATGGTAAAATGGGATACTGTTAGCCTGCATAGGAAGCTTGTTAGAAAAAATAAAACACCAGTTTATTCTCTTAACTACATTGCTAAATAGAACCAAAGATGTTTTAAAACACATATTTGTATTTAAACTTTGGGATAGTATTTGTTAAAACTTTTGGCCTTTGTAAAAAACTCTTTTAAAAACTTGTAAAGGTTTGTTTTCAGACACTCAGATTGAAAACTTTAGTCTGACTGAATAGGATATCTTAATTTTGGTGTTAAAAATTTATAACTGGAAGCATTTCAATGAGGTGATTTGTTTGGAATGGTTTCGAAGCCCAGAATCCAGTACATTTCAAAAAAATAGCTTGAAGCTGTAATGTAAGTTTCAGATTCTTTTCTAGCACATGCAGGGATACCAAATAGATAAATTATGTTTAAAAATAGTGCAGCACTGTGAAGCTGTGTTGGTTATTTTAACCAGTCTGCTGGGTGTATGTATAAAAAGTTATGGCACATTATTACTCCTTATAGTCTCAGAGGTACATAGCTCTTAGCACCTCCAGACCAGTGTCCCTTTAGTCATGATGAAGGTGGCCTCCACTGTGACCTTTATCCCCTGATCTTTGGACTGGCTCACACTCTAGTTACTTCATGTTTCAGAGGAGATTACTCTCCTTTCCTGTCATCCACTCAAAAACCGAAACACCCCTGAGCATTTTTATATTAAATGCAAAGAGAGAGATTTCTGTTATTACAAGTGGTTGCTAACTGGTTTAAGTGAGACATTTGATTTCATAGCCTGAAGACTCCAACCTTGGTTCCTAAGGAGAGAAGTGACTAGTGGAGTCAGGAAAGGGTGAGGCGGCTGGTGTGGGACAACAGTGAGCCTATGATGATCACCGTGATGGCCAGAATAGCAGGGAGCGTGTAGGCACCACGTTGTGTTTGAATATAGTGTAACCTCTGTCATTGTCTAAGAAAAGAAATCCTAATATGTTTCTTCAGACACAAGCATGCATTTGTGTTTTTAATTCACAGAAAACTAGGGTTTTTGCAGTTAAATTCTTTCATAGGTAATGTGTACCATTTTTAGAATCTTCCTATATTAGAAAATTTTAGTTGTTTTTCATATAAGAAATCAGAAATGCTTTTCTGAAGGATATTTTCCTCACTAAGCAGAATTTGTAAATATGGCAATGTTTGTAAAAATAGGTAGTTTTTACAGTAGGCAATTGCTTTATTATACTTCAATTTTACATTTTATTATTGCATTAAAATGTAATTATTTGGAAGAACAACTGAGGGGATTCAAGAAACTTAACAAAAATTCTTCCATAAAGTAGATATAGGAATATAAGTAGTATGTTAACTTCCAACATTGTCTTAAATTCTTTTATAAATTTATATTATTAGAAATGGCTAAGACTCAAACGAAGGCATGAATGGGAAGATGCAGGGTGGAACTGGTCACTTTCCCCCGTTGTGACTGTACCTCCGCAATGCTCCGTGTGCTCAGGAACCTCCTTTGCTGTTTACATTTACAGGTAGAAGCATTGCTTTCAGAGGTGACCGAGGCAATGACGAGTCGCCCATCGAGATGATTAAAGTGTCTCATTTGAAGTAAGTGTTACCCGAGAAAACAAAGCCCTCTGATGCTATAACGGAATCTCATGCATTCTTTTTCTTTAATTAGTGCTAATATAAAAGAGTGCATGAAGAGTTTTTTAAATAATGGTAATTACTATACGTCAACATGGTCTACTCACTAAAAGTGTTTGTTTTATTTTCTGTTTTCTATTTCCATTTACGAACTATTCCTAGCTAGTCAACATATTCATGTTGAACTGTATAATTGTTTAAGATATCTTTAAATATTGGTTTATGTCTTGTGACCTCTATATACTTAGTTAATATTCGTTCTGTTATTATTTTTGTTGCTTCCTTGGCATATTCCCGTAGATGATGATGTTTGCAAATACAGACATACTCTTTTCCACTTTGTATGTTTGTTTATTCTTGCTGTACTCTCCTAAGGCTTCCAATACAATGTTGAGTAGAAGAAATGAGAGTTGGTGTTGTTGAATAATAAATGTGAATGCTTTCTCCATGCATCCTGAATCTCAGCCATCTTAGTTGTAGAAGTTTTTGTTTGCGTTTTATGTGAGTAAAAGTTTACAAAGCAAGTTGATTCTTCATTAAACTGTTAGTGCACATTTTCCCCCACATTAATTGCAGTCCTTCCCTGATGTAGTAGCACTTTCCTCACTCCCTGTCTTTAGCTCTCTTTTCCCATAATCCTTCCATCCTAACCCATTTTCTTAGGGCTTTATCTTTGGGTAAATGCTGCTCTTTGCCCTTACTTGAATTGATTGCCTTGAGTTGGACCCAGCTTGTAGCTGAGCGTCCTGCAGGTTTTCAGAGGCTGTAAGTCCCCGGAGAAGAGATTTCCCATCCTCCATCCATGAACCCCTGCTGGGTTCAGACCACCAGAGAGATGCTGCCTTTTCCTTAGCAGCTCAGCTCTTAGCAGCTCAGCTCCCCGCGGCTACTCCAATGGAGCTCCCTCGTTGGGCCTTGTTATTTATAGTTATTTTAAGGAGTGAGTGCATCCTGGTGTTACTGATGTTTGGCTCACAGTTTAGCCGTGGCGCTAGTGAGGTTTGTTCCAGGCTTGACGGGTGACCAAACGCCCTGGTGCTAGGGATTCACCCAGTCTCTTATCACATCCATAAACCTGGCTTTTTTAAAGGTTTCTGAGTTTCCCACCACTCTGCCTCGTCTCTCCCACTGCCACCCCTCTAGAATGGTCAGAGGTGGTAGCGTGACCCCATCTACCTCTTCTCGTCTCAGGGTCCAGGGAATGCAGGTTTATGGGGACTGATTGTTTCAAAACATCTTTGCGCTTCTTCACGCTTATGTCAGGTTGAAAAAATTCTCCTTTTCCTCCAGTTTTCAGATAATTTGTGTCATGAGTAGACGTTAAACTTTGTTGAATGCTTTTTCTGCGTTTATTGAGATGATTATACAGCTTTTTTTGTTTGTTTTCAAGTCTGTTAATATAAGTCCTTCTATATAGTTGTTGTATACGTGCTTTCTCAGGGCTCTGTATTTACTCACTGCTGTCCAATTGGTTCCCACTCTCGATGATCCACCTTAGAGGTAAATCGTCACAAGAGGAGACTGCCCATCATTTTCCTGAGGAGCACCCAGGTGGATTCGAACCACTGATCCTAGTTAACACCCTGACATCTGAGGCACCAGAGCACTCAGCTGTGTATAAGAGATCATCAAAAGTATAATACATTAAATTTTCATCATTCATCAGGGTTTGAATAATTGTTGATATATCTTACCTATTCTGCTTTTGCTTTTATCCTCAGAGCATTTAGTGAGGTCTGTAGGACAGATGAGAGAAGTACCATTTTAAAGACAAGCAAGGAGCTCTGATTGTATAGTGCATCCCGTGTTGTACTGCTCATCGAAAGGTGATCAGTTCAAATCTAGTGACTGCCCCATGGGATCAGGGTGGACAGGCTCCTGGGAAGCCTGATAGAAGGTCTCTGTGACTCAGGATTGACTTGATGGCAATGAATAAAGCTAAGTAGAATGGCTCTCAGAAAGGCCACGTGGCTTGTCCGAGGCCACCTCGACTGCGGACGGCAGCCTTGGTCCTGTGCAGAGGGAAGCCCTCCCGCAGGCCCAGGGCTTCTCCAGGGCACAATGCCGTGATCAGGGATTGATCGTTTCTCGGCCCTCCCAGTGGGTTGCGTGTGTTCTAGGCTCCGTTCGGGCTGTGGAGTTGTGTTTGTGGCTGTCATTCTGTAGTTCCTTCAGGCACGACAGGGAATGAATGAGTGAATTTTGTTGAATACCTGCTGTGGCAGGATGACACTTATGTTACCCCTCTCCATAACATATTTATCAATTCATTGATAAATGGCGTTCTTTTCATGTTGTGTATGAGAAAAGAGAAAACACAGCCCCTGGAGAGCTGATGTAAGCTGTGGTCTCAGGATTTGAATCTGTAGTTTTACTTTCCTCTGAGCTGGTTGCCTAGCCTGATTATGTGAGGGTCTCTCTACCCTTGAAAGTCATCTTCTGACTTAATTTTTATGACTGTTAGTTATTGGAGATAAATGTTTGTTTAAATTGTGTATGTTTAAAAAATTGTATATTTAGAATATATTCTCTTGAGTTCTCAGATTTGTTGAGCTTTTGTCTTTTAATTGATCACGAAAATTTTGCAAAAAGGCCTTATTTCTCAATTTTGTTTATTTTAGGCAGTATCTGGCAGTTGTCTTCAAAGATAAACCCCTGGAATTGTGGGATATTAGGACTTGTACCCTCCTTAGAGAGATGTCCAAAAATTTCCCTTCAATAACTGCGTTGGTAAGTTACCGTTTAAAAGCAAAATCCTTTATTTAAACATGTATCTATGTAGTAATAGCTCAGGTGGTCTACTGTTAAGAAGCTGCACTGCAATCCCAAAGGCTCAAGGTTCGAATCTACGAGCTGCTCCACGGGAGAAAGCTGGGCAGTCTTGTCCCGTGCTACTTACTGCCTCTGAGAACCCACTGTGGGGTCAGCTACGAGTTGGTTCTGACTTAATGGTGCACAATAACAACAATTATAACTAATAAAGTCCGAAAGCCAGCTAGTGTCAGTGCAGGGTCTCTGATCCTGTATGCGGCTGGGGAGAAAGCAGACCAGTCAGCCTCGGGAGCGAGCTGGCAGCCCTTCAGCGAACCCAGACTCATTCTGGCCTCTGTCCACTCTGCTCCCGCTTGTCGTCTTTTACCAGCATATTGGCAGCAACATTACCAGTCTTGATGGACATTGGAGACAACTTGGATGTCCTCTACTGAGAGACAGATTAGAGTGTCAGATGCACGCGTGGAGTGTTGCGTTGCACTCCAAGCAGAGGAGGCCGAGGGAGAGAGCTGTCTGAAGGGAGTACACGATTAGGTATTACTTGCCTGGTAACTGTCCAGAATACGAGATGCACAGCAAAGTGGTCTCAGAGGCAGGGCGCGGGAGCGGGGGAGGAAATTGTGCAACAAGGAAAGAATCTTTTTAGAGAGAAAAGTGAACTGGGGTGGGGGTGTGGGGTGATAGGGAGGAAAATGCGCAACAGTGAATGAATGGAAGTCCAAGTGTTCTGTAAACTTTTGTTAAAACATCAATTAAACAAAAGTGCAAGAAAGAGAATAAGGAGTGGTAAAAAGTAATCAATAGGTTGTATAAAACAAAATGTATAGAGATTATTGTACAAAACACAGTGTACATGAGTGAAACTCAATGTAATAAAACCCCAAACCAGCAAATACAAAGAACCAGAAGGAGATATGTAACCCAGCACGGCTGTGTAGGTCACTGACGCATGCGTGTGCAAGAAGGAGCACACACATGACAAGATCCTGGTCTAAGTGCTTTGCAGTTAGTGGTAAGATGCGGAATAGATGCATAAAGCACGGGAAGTTTTGCTGGATTTATGCATGATAATGAGCCACGGATTGAAGGGAGGGGAGGCAGGGAGAGGCTGTCTTGATGGGAATGGAGGTAGCATAAGAGAGCTCATTAGCTTCATAGTATGGGTAAGAAAGCATCAAAAGGATAGACCTTTCCAAAGCTGTATTTTATTGAAGTCCACTGCCTCAAGCTCTGAATAAGCACTTCTGTTGAACCTGTCAATAAATAGGTAAAACCCAAAGAAAAAAATCGTGATTTTATGTGTCAGAGTAGTAAGTAATACTGGAGAGGAGAGGAGAGGCCGGGCGTGCTGAGCACGCAGAGTCTTCCTGGAGGTGCTGTGACAGAGGTCCAGCGCTTGTCTTGGTCTGTCTTCTCCACAGGAGTGGTCACCATCTCACAACCTGAAGAGCCTGCGGAAGAAGCAGCTGGCCACCCGGGAGGCCATGGCCCGCCAGACCGTGGTCTCTGATGCGGAGCTGAGCATCGTGGAGTCGTCTGTCATCAGGTGCAGTGCACTGCTTCCTGCCCCTGTCCTGTGTGGTGTCCTTGTCATCCTTGGGGCTTGACACGTGCCATCCAAAGGCATCTGCTTTTGAACATCCTTGGTGTTGTATTTCAGTACTACCCAGTGGTTGAAACGTTGCTTTTATTATTGTGTTGCTTCCTGCAGTCAGTAATATTTGCAATAAGATCCACATACCAGCAGTGTTCACTAGTGAACATAACTATCTTTATGCCCTCGGCCCCATAAACTGTAGCTTCTAGGACAGCGAAGAGAGTGGAGAGTCTCCGTTCCAGTCCTGTCTCCATCCCCAGCAGTTCTGCACATTAAACTCTTGGGTGGTTATGATGGGCGTCGGTTAGGGGGTGAACTTTCTTTTGCTGTATAACCAATTCAGAGGGGTTGTGATGTATTCTCTTACTAGTTGGTCAAAGGTTAGCTTCAGTCATTTTTCTTCTAATGGTTTTGAACCACTTATCAATGCTTTTTTATTGTGAGTTAATTAATTATAGGTGTCATTTTAAAGATAAGAAATCTCTCTGTCTTATTTTCTTCTGCCCTGAAGCTTGCTACAGGAAGCTGAAAGTAAATCTGAGCTGAGTCAGAACATCTCTGCCCGGGAGCATTTTGTGTTCACGGATAATGACGGCCAGGTCTACCACCTGACCGTGGAGGGCAACTCGGTGAAGGACAGTGCACGGATCCCTCCAGATGTAAGTGCAGCCTTTCACTAGTCGGAAGGATTCTTTGCAGAGGCCTTGTTGGTTCCATAGCCAGTGAAGCCATCAGCTGTTTGGGAAGCTCTTTGGGAAACATGCATGGCGGTTGTTGTTATTGTTGATTACCCTCAGTGGAGCTTGACTCACAGTGACCCTATGAATCCCCTCTACAACTATCGACTTTTATTTGCATGTCAGTAAACTTTACTGTTACGAGGTTATCAGTGCTTAAATGTACTGCTGGGAAGGAGCTATTTTGATTAAACCCTTAACACTTGTTACTCCTTTTTAGCTCCATGAAAGCTTTTGAGGAATTATCTCTATCTGGTTAAACTGAGGGAGAATAAGTAACTTTTCCAGGTCACTCAGCTCAGTTACCTGCCAGAATAGTGTTTTAAACTTAAGTCTCTGACTTCAGAGTCTGTCTGCTTTCCATCTCTACGGGGAAGGATTTAGTTTACAAACTGTTATTATTTATGGTTGTGACTATTTACTAACTTCTGTGTAACAGGAGCCCTGGTGATATAGTAGGTTAATTGTTAGGCTGCCAACCGAAAGGTTGGCAGTTCAAATCCACAGCCCAGTTCATGGGAAACAGATAAGCCAGCTTTCTTCTATTAAGATTTACAGCGTTGGAAGCCAGAAGGATGGTTGCTGTGAGTTAGAGTTCACCTGACACCAGTGGGATGAGTTTAGTTTGGGGCTAAACTTTTTCATACATTTGTGGAGTGCTTCCTCAAAAGACGTCCATTTATCCTAAATCAGTCACGAAGAACTTAGAACTTCCTTTCTGTTGAGTTCTCAGCTTCTTCATAGTTTTCTGTTCCTGTGCTGTGGGACTCCTTAAGAGTTGTACTGTGTAATGCCGTGGGACTCCTCGACTGTTGTGTGCGATGCCGTGGGACTCCTCGGCTGTTGTGTTGTGTGTGATGCCGTGGGACTCCTCGACTCTTGTGTGTGATGCCGTGGGACTCCTCGACTGTTGGGTGTGATGCTGTGGGACTCCTCGACTGTTGTGTTGTGTGTGATGCCGTGGGACTCCTCGACTGTTGTGTGTGGTGCCGTGGGACTCCTTGACTGTTGTGTGTGATGCCGTGGGACTCCTTGACTGTTGTGTGTGATGCCGTGAGACTCCTTGACTGTTGTGTGTGATGCCGTGGGACTCGTCAACTGTTGTGTTGTGTGTGGTGCCGTGGGACTCCTTGACTGTTGTGTGTGATGCCGTGAGACTCCTTGACTGTTGGGTCTGATGCTGTGGGACTCCTCAACTGTTGTGTTGTGTGTGATGCTGTGGGACTCCTTGACTGTTGTGTGTGATGCCGTGGGACTCCTCGACTATTGTGTGTGATGCCGTGGGACTCCTCGGCTGTTGTGTTGTGCGTGATGCCGTGAGACTCCTCGACTGTTGTGTGTGATGCCGTGGGACTCCTCGACTATTGTGTTGTGTGTGATGCCGTGAGACTCCTTGACTGTTGTGTGTGATGCCGTGGGACTCCTTGACTGTTGTGTTGTGTGTGATGCCGTGAGACTC